ATTAATGAGGAAAAAAAATTAACTTAAATGATTTTAGCAAATGGCTGCAATATAACAAAGAGTGAAAAATTTAAGGGGGTCTGAATACTTTCCGTACCCACTGTATATATATAAAAAGTTAATTGCGACTATCTTATGTCCTTTTTTGCAACTTTTTTTCCCTCGCAATTCTCAGTTTATATCTCACATTTCAGATTGCAAAAAAATCAGAGTCTGAATTCTGAGATTCTGAGAAAAAAGTCAGAATTGTAAGACATTAAACTAAATATTTTTTGATTATTATAAATTTTTTTGTTTTATCTTTTCTCTTATATTCTGAGAAAATAAGTCAGAATTGCAAGACATACATTTTTTTTCACAACTTTATATCTTATATTTATTTATATATTTATATGTGTTATAAGAGTTTTATATATATATATATATAACTTTTCTCTTAAATTCTGTGAAAAAAAAATCTGAATTGCGAGATTTAAATTAGTTCTGACTTTTTTTGTTTGTTTGTTTCTGCCATGGAATAAAAAGTTTTTGTCTTAAACTAAATATTTTTTGATTATTATAAATTTTTTTGTTTTATCTTTTCTCTTATATTCTGAGAAAATAAGTCAGAATTGCAAGACATACATTTTTTTTCACAACTTTATATCTTATATTTATTTATATATTTATGTGTTATATATATATAACTTTTCTCTTAAATTCTGAGAAAAAAAAATCTGAATTGCGAGATTTAAATTAGTTCTGACTTTTTTTGTTTGTTTGTTTCTGCCATGGAATAAAAAGAAGGTTTTTGTCTCAATTTTGACTTTTTTTATTGCATTTGTGACTTTATATTTCACAATTTCTTCTCAGAATTGCATGTTTACAGTATATAAATCAGAATTGCAAGATGTTGCATATTAATTTATGTTTCTACATAAATTAATATGCAACATTCTACATAAATAAACTTGAATTTAATTGAATTTAATGTTGCTTGCAATTCTCAAAACTCAGAGAATTTGTGAACAAATTCACAAATTGAACAGTGAACTTGTATGCGAGATGTCATCAATTACAGCGTCTGATTTACTCATTAATTTAGTATTTTTCTCATTATTTAATTTCTCATAATAGCTAGTTATATTTGACATGATTCAGTTTTTCAGTGCAATTATTGAAGTTTGAATGAACAGAAACGTTGAGTTCTTGTAAAGTTCACAGCAGAAGGACATGCTGTGGTTTATAATGCTTGTGTGTTGTGTGTTTAATGGTCAGATTGTGTTGTTTCAGTCGTTTCAGTTAGTATTGGTGTCGTCTCTCGTTCTGGATCAGGATGGGCAGGGTTCTCCGTGTGTACAAAATTACAAGATTCACTTCTGAAGTGTTTTTATTTTACTGTATTTTACTGTATTTTTTTTAAACCAAGTCTCAGGATGTTTTAATTTATTGGAGACCTTTTGTAGTAAATCTAAAGTATGCTCATTCCTAGAATTGCCATGTAAATCTCTATATGATGTCTTTTTATTTAGTCAGTTTACTGTATAGAAATTTTCCTGTTATAGAAAGCTCTTGGGTGTTCATTTGGTCGAAAGATTTAAAAGTGAAAGTCTGTCGTTTGTGATTGAATTTCAGACACAATCAGGAAAAACCTCTTCTCGTGTGGTTGCTCTTGTGTTGAATTACCTGAAGCGAAGGAGCGGTGAAACCGCGTCCCGTGTGTGTCGTGAAATCAACAGTCTCCTCACCAGAAATAACCGAAGGCTCGGTGACAGCCGCAAATAGATCACGTTTCAATACTAGTTATGCAAATTTGGGGCTTGTCCTGTTTCACTGGATGGAAATGAGTACACTCTCATTTGCTTTATCAATTGTGTTTAGCTTATTTGATTTCGAGGTTGGGTTGGTGTGATCTCTTTGTCAAATTAGATTCATTTAGAAAATCAAATCCGTCTGGCAGGCTCTCCCTCGCTCAGTTTACTGTTGTCTTATTGATATTCGGCTTTGATTTAACTCTGTAATAGCAGTATTAGATGCGATCAGTAAGCAGTGGTTAGTGGCTCATTCAAGGCAGTGTGACAAAAGTGTGTCTGTTTTTGTGAAATGCATTCGTCAGATTTTGGCAGCTGGACAGAAAACGGGCTGCGTTCCAGTCTGCTTCCGCAGTGCACACTGCAACACACTTCCTCTGAACCTAAGAGAAGATGTCAAGACATGCACGGGGATTCTTTCTTTGTTCTGTTGTTTTTTTAATGGATTTATTGTGTTTTTTTGGGGGTATTTTCAACTCAATCATTGGCTCTGTTCTAAAACATAGTGAGCTCCCTACATAGGCAGCATTTTAACAGGGTTTCTTAAAAAGCCCTTCCACAATTTAAGGCCTTAAAACGTCTTGAATCAACGTGGAAAGACTTAAATTAATAAAATTCTTGAAAAAATGTTGCATGCATGGCAAAATATCTTCCTCAGTATTTTTGTTTTCCAATACAAATATCTAAACGCCTTTAAGTCAAGATACATTTATCTAAATGAAGTGAGTTTATGCTTAAAGCAAGAACAAATATCTGTCAGTGGGGAATGAAAAGTTGTTTTCCCTTTGAATTAAGTTGATTTTTCTGAGCTCATTGGCAGATCTCGTTTTAATCGTAAACTCACTTCATTTAGATCAGTTTCTCAGAAAACAAGACTTCTGATTTAGTCATTTTGCTTCTCCAGTAAATTCATGTTGATTTAAGAATCTTTAGACATTTGCACTGAAAAACAAGACAAAGATACTGAGGAAGAACATCTTTTTTTCGCAGTGTGATCGGAAGTATAGTGACATTTATTTCCATATTCTTAATTTTATTTTTTTTGGAAAATTAATTAAAAGTCAACAGATGTAGATCTGCTGGAAGTTGTATATTTCCAAACTTTAAAGTGTTGTTAATGCAACTCATTGAGAATGTGCTCCCTAGACATTTACATTAATTCCCTTCAATTTAGTCCTTAAATTATCTTTACTTGGTCTTAAAAAGGTCTTAAAATAGGCGTAACCCTCATCAAACCTGCAGAAACCCTGTTTAAGGCATAACATTAAAGTCTAAACATTAGTCAGTATATTTATGCCTTCTAAGATTGCAGAAACACCAGTTCCATGATGCACTGAACAATTCTATTTGAAATCTAGTCCATACCGAAAGGGTTTGCTTAAAGTCAACTTTAATATTTTACTCAGTATTATTTTTATGCATCACATCATCAGATCAGGCTTTTTTGGAAGTGCTGGTTGCATTGAGTCAGGCATTGTTTGCATGATGGGCTCATGAGACCTCAGGAGACACGAGAGATGCACTGATGTGTCGATGCAAATTCAGGAGAACAATGAACACGGACAAACGTGTGTTTCCCCCCGAAGGGCCGTTTAGAGAGACGTGTAACGCAAGTCCGGCCGGGACGCCACTGCTGATGTTGATGAAACATCTGAATGAGCATCTTGAGGGAATGTGAGTTGTCTTCTGTGCTTCAGTTCAGCGGCTCCCTGAGGTTTGAGGATTTGAGTTCTTCCACTGCAGGAACCTGTTCAACCACTGATGTTGAAAAACAGCCTACGGCTGCGTCTTTACAACCTGAGAAATGTCGTTTTTTTGGTTCTCGTGAAATGAATTTCTGCGGTTGTGTGCATGAATGAGTGATGCATTTCACTGATACACAAGACTGTACGAAACACCCACACACTTACCTTATAGGCTGTTCATTCATCAGTATTACTCATATTCTTACAATTTATGTGTATGCTGAGTAATGGGGGATGGTAATGTGTGTGTGTGTGTGTGTGTGTGTCAACCATTTTTGTGAAATAAATTAGCAATTTTTTTCTTTTATGTATCCTAAAAAAGTGGGTCGCGGTTTGATGACCATGGGGAAATGTGGGTCCCATGGCCAAACCAGTTGAGAACCGCTGCCCTACATTATGAGGGCCAAATGCCCCCACAAGTGAAGTAATGCCAGTAAATTTTGACCTTCTGGGGAAATTTTTTGGTCCCCACGAGGCAAACAGCTTATGAATCATATGGAACGAAGTGTTTTGAAAATCTAAAAATGCCTGTAGTTTTGTGGGAGGGATGGGGATAGAAAATACAGTTTTTACAGTAATAAAACCATTACGCCTATGGAGAGTCCCCATAATGATAGAAATACATCTGTGTGTGTGTGTGTGTGAGAGAGAGAGAGTGAGTGAGTATAAGTGTGTCTGTGTGTGTGTCAGTGGGGGAGGGTTTGTGGAATGTGTTGCGCTGGTAAATACGATCTGCTGAACAAATGCTGCTGGTTGATCTATTTGAGTTGTGTTTGTTGGTCTGGTTGAGTTGTATTTGTTGATCTGGTTGAGTTGTGTTTGTTGATCTGGTTGAGTTGTTTGTTGATCTAGTTTAGTTGTGTTTGTTGATCTGGTTTAGTAGTTTGTTGATCTGGTTGAGTAGTTTGTTGAATTGGTTGAGTTGATTTGGTTGAGTAGTTTGTTGATCTGGTTGAGTAGTTTGTTGATCTGGTTGAGTAGTTTGTTGAATTGGTTGAGTTGATTTGGTTGAGTTGTGTTTGTTGATCTGGTTGAGTAGTTTGTTGAATTGGTTGAGTTGTGTTTGTTGATCTGGTTGAGTAGTTTGTTGAACTGGTTGAGTTGTGTTTGTTGATCTGGTTGAGTAGGCCTAGTTTGTTGAACTGGTTGAGTTGTGTTTGTTGGTCTGGTTGAGTGGTTTGTTGATCTGGGTGTGTTGTGTTTGTTGGTCTGGTTGAGTTGTATTTGTTGATCTGGTTGAGTTGTGTTTGTTGATCTGGTTGAGTTGTTTGTTGATCTAGTTTAGTTGTGTTTGTTGATCTGGTTTAGTAGTTTGTTGATCTGGTTGAGTAGTTTGTTGAATTGGTTGAGTTGATTTGGTTGAGTTGTGTTTGTTGATCTGGTTGAGTAGTTTGTTGATCTGGTTGAGTAGTTTGTTGATCTGGTTGAGTAGTTTGTTGATCTGGTTGAGTAGTTTGTTGATCTGGTTGAGTAGTTTGTTGATCTGGTTGAGTAGTTTGTTGAACTGGTTGAGTTGTGTTTGTTGATCTGGCTCTGGTTGAGTGGTTTGTTGAACTGGTTGAGTTGTGTTTGTTGGTCTGGTTGAATGGTTTGTTGATCTGGTTGAGTTGTGTTTGTTGATCTGGTTGAGTAGGCCTAGTTTGTTGAACTGGTTGAGTTGTGTTTGTTGGTCTGGTTGAGTGGTTTGTTGATCTGGTTGAGTTGTGTTTGTTGGTCTGGTTGAGTAGGCCTAGTTTGTTGAACTGGTTGAGTTTTGTTGAACTGGTTGAGTTGTGTTTGTTGAACTGGTTGAGTTGTGTTTGTTGATCTGGCTGAGTAGGCCTAGTTTGTTGAACTGGTTGAGTTGTGTTTGTTGATCTGGTTGAGTGGTTTGTTGGACTGGTTGAGTTGTGTTTGAGATCTAGTTGAGTAGTTTGTTGATCTGGTTTTGTTGATTTGGTTGAGTTGTGTTTGTTGGGCTCGATCAGGGCTGTTTGTTTTGGCTCCTGGAGTCGTTCTGTTGATGCTCTCGTTTAAAACTTTCCTCAGGTTACACACTTTGAGTGAGATTAGAGTGATTGAGTGATTTTCTGTGGCTCTGAGCTCTTGTACAGCCGTTATCGGATAAACCCGCCGTTCTCCTGCTCTCTGCGGATGATCCGTGTGGCTCCACGGGTGGAATGCAAAGACCCAATTATTTGATGAGGATTAGAGATTGACGGCTCTAAAGAGTCGTGCTGAGAGAGCAGAACAGGACATTATCACCCGACACGGGGCTTTCCAGAGCCACACATGCTCAGATAAACTCCCATAACTGAGCATTTCTACTCCAAACCTGCGTTCACTTTACGACTCAGAACCTCTACATTTACATTCACTTTAATGCATTTGGCAGGTGCTTTGATCCAAAGTAACTTGGATTGCATTCCAGGCATTTTTTTAATCAGTTCATGCATTTCCTGGGAATTGAACCCATGGCGTTGGCGTTGGCGTTGGCGTTGCAAGCGCTGTACTCTACAGAACAGAAGTTGCTCTTGTGTCAGTTTCAATATTTTTTTGATGTTCACTTGCAGTGATACGTTTGAACATGTTTCTGTTTCTGTTTTGTGTTGTAGACAAATTTAAATTGCTCCTTCTTGTGAAATTTAATAATGCATTAAAGCATTAGCCTTCAATTATTTTTCAAATCTGTTAGTTTTCATTTATTTTTGATAGTACAGTCAGGTTATGTGTGTAAACATGAGAGCTCAGCACGTCACAGATGATGACAGTAATATACACAGAGGCTGTATTTATGTGTGCAGTGTGAGTTTGTCTGGATTTCAGAGATTCATCTGATATTTGAGACACTGACGCTCCCTCTGATTCTGAACCGGTCTGAAGTAGACGTGTGGTTTTCTTTTATTTCGTGGTCTGTGTCTGGTTTGTGATCTCAGAGAAGCCCATCTCTCTGTGACCCAGTGAAGCGAGACCGAGCATCAGAGATCAGAGTTATTTTTGACTCTTAATTAGCTGTCCTCTCACGCCCCGCGGTAACGTGATTAACCCGCCGCTTACTGTAAACCTGCTAACAGATTTAGACCGACACAAGAAACAATACAGCCGTCAGGGAGAAAACGAGGATCGGGTTGCATTTTTAAGAGACAATACAAGCAGTAAGAAAGCATGTGTTGTATAGGGTTGGGCCGTGATTTGTCGTGTCGTGTCGCGCCGCATCGAGTGTAGACAGCATCACTGATTATAATGAGTTCTATTGACTGATCTTTATATAATGAATCTCTATTATAGATCAGTGGTTCTATGGTATTTTGCCGCCCCGCTCACGTCCGGTGTAGACACGGTGTTAGGAATCATTATTTGTTTTCCGTGCCTTATAAGGATTTACGATTCACACCCAACCCCAACAATCCAAGCCCAATTTCATAAAATGTTTATATTCATTGCATATATTGTTTGTTGTTGAATATTGAAGCTATTAAATAGCCTATAAAGCTGACAATAGCTAGTTTTACAAGAATTAAACCCCATAATGCCTTTAAAACTGCTGCAGGACAGTGAGAGTGTTTGGAAACCTGTTTGGAAACAGTCATTATTTGAGCACTTTCATTAAGCGCAGCTTGAACTGCTTTTATTAGACAGACACACCATTCTACCATGATCCTTTGCTCTCTGTAACGATGGATTCCTCACTGTGTGTTGTTTATGGAGCCACATGGACTGAATTTGCACGGGAGCTACTGAGTTTCTTCAGATGAGCCTTCTGTAGTTTAGTTTGTGACGGAAGCGGGTTTGATGCGTTTGCATGCACATACTAGGTGCGTTTCAGGCCTCACACATCTATGAGCTTATCTATGAGCATCTCATATCTCTGAGATGAAGTTCATGAACTTCTGCTGCCTGTTGGAGTGTGTGTGTGTGTGTGTGTGTGTGTGTGTGTGCGTGTGTGTTAACAAATTATTTTCGAGAAACTACTATTTTTCTACTTCAAAATTTTCACATTTAGTTCAGTGTTACTTAATTCATTAATTTAATTTAAAGGTGCAATTTTAATTATATAATTTACTGCAATCTGTGTGTCTGCACTGTAAAAAAAAAAAAAAATTTTGAAGTTGCAAATAAAATAGTTTATTGGAGTACATTTTACAAAAAAATACTACTTCAGCTTTTCTATTTCAAAATTTCACGTTTATTTCAATAAGTTGCTTGCTGTTTTTTGTAATTATTTGTGAAATTTACCAACAATTTCTGCATAAAAGTTGTCTCAATGTATATCCTAGACCAAATGTTTGTTTCATTGTGTATTAATGGACCAATTTAATTCATTAATTTCATTTAAAGGCGCAGTTTTATTATTCTATAATTTACTTCAATCTGTATGTCAACACTGTAAAAAAATATTTTTCATTTGTAAATAAAACAAAGGTTATTGGAGCGTGTTTTGCAAATACTATTTCATTCTTTCTATTTAAAATTTCATGTTTAATTAATGTGATACTTGTAATTTCTTTGTAATTATTTGTGAAATTTACTAGAAATGTATTATTGAAATTTGTTTCAGAGTAAATCCTACGCCAGTGTGTTTTAATTGACCTATTTAATTTGTTAATGTAACTGAGTCTGGGATGATTAATTTCAGATGGGTGTGTATGAAGATGCTGAGTTTGTGTAATGAGTTGATTTGTGTCTGATAGTTATATGAGCTGGATAACGACCCGCACAGGAAGGAGTTCCTGGACGACCTTTTCACCTTCATGCAGAAACGAGGTGAGAGAGATTAATCTCAATTCACATGATTTCAGTCTGATAGTGGAGTGAGTTTATCAGATTCAATGTGTGTGTGTGTGTGTGTGTGTGTGTTAGTGTGAGAGAGAGTGTGTGTGTGTGTGTGTGTGTGTGTGAGAGAGAGTGTGAGTGTGTGTGTTCTTAAGCATGTGCACGCATGTATGTGTGTGTTTTGTTAGTGTAAAGCCTGTGTGATTGATGCTTCATGTCTGGACTGAAACCTAAAGATCTGGATGTGTGTTTATTTGTGCTGAATGTTGAGGGGCCCGTCAGGGGCCGCGGGGTGATGAGGGGATTGACCTGCTGCAAGTTCACACATGTGAAGGACACGAAATATTTCAACACACACACAGTGGTGCTTCATATCAACATGTAGTAGGATCAGACCCATGAAAATTTTTTTTTTTTTTTAAGAAATTCAAACTTTTATTCATCAAGGCTCCATTAAATTGATCAAAAGTGCCAGTAAAGACATTTCTAATGTTACAAAAGTGTTTTAATGTTTTTCTATTTCAAATAAATGCTGTACTTTTGAACTTTCTATTCATCTGAGAATCCTGAGATAAAATGTATCACAGTTTCCACAAAAATATTGTGCAGCACAACTGTTTTCAACATTGATAATAATCAGAAATGTTTCTTGAGCAGCAAATCAGCATATTGTTATGATTTCTGAAGATCATGTGACACTGAAGACTGGAGTAATGATGCTGAAAATATAGATTTGATCACAGAAATAAATTACATTTTAACAGATATCCACATAGAAAACAGTTATTTTAAATTGCAATAATATTTCACAATTGATCACAGAAATAAATTACATTTTAACAGATATTCACATAGTAAACAGCTGTTTTAAATAGCAATAATATTTCACTGTTTTTACTGTATTTTTGATCAAATAAATGCATCTGTGGTGAGACATTTGCATTAGTGTTTAAGTCGAGCATCACGATAACCAACTAGTTTAGAAAAAGTCCTGCTGTACAAAAAGAAAGAAAGAAAGAAAAGGAAAGTCCTGCTGTGTCTGCAGAGCAGAAGATCTCTGGCACGTCTCGTCAAGCGTCTCTCTGTGAGACGGAAAGGAAGCAAAACCGCAGAATCTCACTTCCGTGTCGAGTGCTTAAATACAGGGAACTGTGTCTCTGTGTGTGTGTGTGTGATTTCAGCAGCTGTTTTTAACAGAGCGTAAGGGGCCTGCGCTTGAGGCCCCCGTATCAAAGAGCTTCAGGAAAGCCGCATGCTGCTGCAGTTTCATGGCACGCAGCGGCTGGAGCTTTTCAGAGCCGTTTAGGTGTCAAACGTGTGGTGAGACATTTGCATTAGTGTTTAAGTCGAGCATCACGATAACCAACTAGTTTAGAAAAAGTCCTGCTGTACAAAAAGAAAGAAAGAAAGAAAAGGAAAGTCCTGCTGTGTCTGCAGAGCAGAAGATCTCTGGCACGTCTCGTCAAGCGTCTCTCTGTGAGACGGAAAGGAAGCAAAACCGCAGAATCTCACTTCCGTGTCGAGTGCTTAAATACAGGGAACTCTGTCTCTGTGTGTGTGTGTGTGTGTGATTTCAGCAGCTGTTCTTAACAGAGCGTCAGGGGCCTGCGCTTGAGGCCCCCGTATCAAAGAGCTTCAGGAAAACCACATGCTGCTGCAGTTTCATGGCACGCAGCGGCTGGAGCTTTTCAGAGCCGTTTAGGTGTCAAACGGAGTGGTTTTTCTGGTTTTTGACGTCTGGTGTCACAGGTGCATATCATCTTCATCAGATCATGCCATTATCTGTTTTCTAAAATGCATGTTATAGATCATCTTATGAACCTTGTAATGTTTAATCAAAACATCCTAACTGGATCTCCTCTCTGGTGATGTATGCAGGATTCTCCAATCAATTAGAGCTCTTAGGCTCCGCCCCCACAGCTCACGCTCATCTGCATACACTTGAGAGCCACGCCCACATCTCAACATCCAATCAATAACCGATGCACAGAACCAAGTCCCGCCCTATATTTATAATTTTTTGATAATCCGTCTCTCTCGGGTGAGCGTCACAATATGAAAGAAAAGATCTGACGCTACTTCTGTTTTATTGTGACTTTATGTATCTGAATTACATTAGAAATTTCCATCCATTTGGATTAGATAGTTTTAACATAAACTAATAAACGGAATGTGATGCATATTTGTCAGTCATACATCGTTTATTATTAATTATTTGCATCTTTTTGATTCGATTTAATCAATCATATTTGCAAAATGCGTTTATTCAAATTGCTTAAAATCTGTATAAATCTCACAATTGTGAAAACAATTACATTTATTCAGTTAAAAAGAATAAACATGTTTAAAATATGGTTAGCTGTGGACCAAGCAATATTCAGTTAGTTCAAATGTATGAAATTGGATTTATGGATGATAAATATATAAAGCAGCTGGTTATTGTGTATTTAAAACAGTTCAGTTTATTATTACTGTTACAGAAATAACTGTATTGATTTTATCAGTGTTAAAACTGTGTAATCCAAATTATATATTCAGTTAAAATACATAAATCTTAAATTTAGGCCTAAATATTTTTAAGTGAAATTTTGATGATATTCAATATACATCTGAATATTTTTCCACATTTTGAGTGTTCAATATATATTTAAATATTTTTGTCCAAATGTTGACCATATTAAGTATGTATATTTTTCCTAATATTGAAACCTATTCAATATTTCTCCAAAATTGGACAATATTCAGTATTTATCTCACCATTTTTCCTAATTTTGATGATATTTAGTATTTATCTCAGTACAGTATTTTCCTAATTTCGGATGATATTCAGTAAATATCTCAATATTTTTTATTTTTTCTCATTTTGATTTTGATATTATCTCAATATATTTCCTAGTTTTGACAATATCCAGTACATATCTCAATATGTATCTTTGCATTCGCTTTTTTGCACCATTCATTTGAAACACAAGACAAAATAATTTAACAAATGTCCCAAGTGTTTTTTGTTCCCATACAATGAAAGTCAGTGTTTTTTTGGAATCATTTCTTTTTGTGTTCTGCAGAAGAAAGAAAGTCAAACAGGTTTGATTGACACGAGGGTGATTGTTTTTATTTTATTTTTTTAAGAATCATTTTTAGGCTGAACTGTTTCAGTGTCAGGTTTTGTGCACCTCACAGGACGCTGCGCTGAAATGAGATGTTGTTTTGATTTATCGGCTGGTTCCTCCTGTGTTTGGAGCTGCGTTCGGGGGCCTCTGAAACTTGATAAAGTGGGTTTGCAGGGCTGGATTAGGGGCCCCGCGTCTCATAGCATGATTAATGAGCCTCTGAAACGCACAACTACACGTCTGATCGAGCCGAGGCAGAGATGAACACCAGAAAGAAAAGACTTTGGATGAGTGAAAGGAAATTTCCTTCATAGAAAAGCAGCAGTCGTGCTGAAACCAGTGATTAATCAGAGACAGAAGCAGGGCCGGGGCCCGGCATCACATCTGCTTCTTAATCCGTCTGTCCTGAATCAAAGGCGTTTTATTCTTAGTATCTATATATTTATCTTTGATTATAAGATGAGGTTTTGTGTGTAAATGTGTTTTTGCTCCAGAATAACATTCGGGATGTGTTTAAAATTATATGGTGAAGCTGAAAGGCATTTATCATTTCTCTCCCGACCGACGTTATAAATGCCCTCTTCCTGTCGTTCTTCCGCACTTCCTGTTTAATCTCCCGTCACTCTTTCACGCTGACAGCGCCTCAAACATTTAATAGTGACTAATCTCTTTTTTTTTTTTTTTCAGTTGCTTTAGCTATATTTGATATATTTAATTAATCTTATCCAGTTAGTTTTGACAGATCAAAATTCTAGAGGAAGTGGAACAATGTAACACTTTGTTCTTTGTTTTTGTCAAAATGTAGCGCACATAGAATCATCTCATTCAAAAACGAACTGCCAGAATTTGGTAAGGCTCTATGTATATAATGCATTATAAAGGTATTCATAATGTAATGCTTTGTCTTTTAATAAAAAATTGTAACCAAAGTTAAAATGCATTATAATATTTGAAGGTTTGTTTGTCATGTTTTAATGCATTACACTTTCTAACGGTGTATTATAATGTATTTTAACTGTGGTTGCAATTATTCACGAGATCATACAATGCATTATAATGTGCATTACAAGGCATAATTAATATATTGAAATTATTATATTATGCATTATATATATAAAGTGTTACTGCCACATTTTACACTACAGTATAATATGATTATATGATTATAAGTATGATATCCTTTACAAAACGCAATAGAAATTAAACACCTTTAGTTTTCCTTCACATAAGGTTCAAAGTTGAATACTTTTATTCATCAAGGCTGCATTAAATTAATCACACTAAAGACATTTATAATGTTAGTAGATCTCTATTTCAAATAAATGCTGTTCTTTTGAACTTTCTATTCATCTGTGAATCCTGAAAAATAGAATGCATCACAGTTTCCACAAAAATATTGTGCAGCACAACTGTTTTCAACATTGATAATAATCAGAAATGTTTCTCGAGCAGCAAATCAGCATATTATTATGATTTCTGAAGATCATGTGACACTGAAGACTGGAGGAATGATGCTGAAAATACAGCTGCGCATCACAGAAATAAATTACAGTTTAACAGATATTCACATAGAAAACAGCTGTTTTAAATCATAATAATATTTCACATTTTTACAGTATCTTTGCTCAAATAAATGAGCCTAAGCTTCTGATCTGTAGTGTATGAAGGGAAGAGCAGCTGATGCTGATGGCTTCATCTGACTCATTGATTTCGATGGGGGTTGACCTTTATCTGACCTCTGACAGTGTGTGCGTGACCTCTGTGACCCGAGAGCTTCTCCTCTCTTCATCAGGATGTGAAAGCATCAGTGTTTATGGTCCAGAATAAGCAGCATGTGACTCCGGCTCTGATCTGATCAGTATTTCTCCGTGACTCCAGCGT